CCGCAGTCGACGGCGAGCACTTCCGGGTTCGACTTACCGCGTCCAGACTAGACGCGATAAGTCGAACCCAGAAGTTCGATTGCCAGCCGCCGAACTAGCGGATAAGTGTAGCCAAGGCCTAAGTGCTTTACAAACAATAGGCCTGACCCTGCAACCCCCAGCCTTTCCTCCCATGATTATGCTCATTGACTGCAACAAGAATTAGGGGTGTAGGATTGGGCCCCAAAGACCACTGTCATGCAGCTACCTCTGGGGTGGAGGGCAGGGCAGCAGCTAAGTAACAAGTTTCACAAAACTCAGTGTGTGGGGAGGAGGGGTAATTTTGGCCCAGGACGGTGGGGCAAACCCATCATGTCATTATATAATGATGCCCTGCAGCTGCTGGGGGTTTAAGCAGGTTGCAGCCAGGAACTAATGGTCATTATCCAGACAGCCCATTAGGATGGGGACCAGGGGAGCTGTAACCGGCTGCAACTTCAACCTTTGCAACTAACTAAAAATAAATCCCGCCTCTCTGCGAACGCACTTTTGCCAGGAGGTGAGCGGCCTGCACCAGGGGGGAGGTGGGAAACACAACCCAGAGCATGCACCTCCTGCAAACCAATCCCAACCTCGCCAGCTCAGGCGAACCCCTCCAGCTCCTTCCAGGAAGGGGATGTGCCCACATGGAAACAGTTGCAATCAGACCCGCTGGAGGATGCAAGTAGAGGCATTTTCCCCCAGCAGAGTCCCGCAGCGCCAGCTGTCAGGGATCCCAGTTGCCTACACGCGTCCACCAAGCCTGGCTGTCCTGCTCCCCACCCCTTTCCGGTCCCCCCCCCACAAGTGCCCGCCCTCTTTTTCCCTGCCTCTGATTGGCCAGAGGTTTCTTTTGTTAGCAGCTAAGAGAGCCTACCATTGGCTAGGGAGCAACGTCCATCAGATCCTGGAGCAGCCCCCTCCCCTTTCCCCTCTTCCCAGCCCCCTCTCTTGGCCCGGACCCTGGGAGCGCGAGAGGGTTTGGGGTGGGTTGTTTTTTTTTTTTTTTGCAACCATTTGCCTCTTGCACTGGGCCTAGGGAAGCGGCGGTGGGTGCGTGCAGGGGGGGCCCGGCTGCCTGGCCCCCCAGTGAATACAATAAACAATAATCATCCTTCCAGGGGGCGAGAGAGGCGTTTCCCTCGGAGCATGGGCGGACTGAGGCCGGGAGGCGGCGGCGGGGTCGGTGTTGCAAGAAGACCCCTTGGCAGCAGATGGGATTGGTGCCTTATTTGAGGGTCTCCTGGGCAGTCCCGCTCCCCAGTTGTGCTGCTGTCGGGGGGAAGAGGGGGGAGGAAGTTGCATTGATTATTTTTGCCGCTGCTTTGCTCTCCCGGATTCCCACACACCGAGGCGGTTTTTAAATCTGGAGGATTATGCATGGAAAATCGCCCCCTCCCTCTAAGGAACCAACCCGTGCCGACAGCTAGCTCCCCCGGGGCTGGCCTGCAATTGTGCCTTAACTTGTGCGTGTGTGTGGGGAGGGGAGCGGAGCTGTTTTTCTTGCGTTTGATTCCCCCCCCCCTCTTTGGTGGGGAATCAGTGATCATCTGGGATTTCCACCTCCAGCAAGTCAATCCTGCCCCGACGGCTGGATTTCCTCCCGCTGCATGGGGAGAAGCGGCGAGCTGGTGAAGAACTCTCGGGCTTGGTTTTTATTATTATTTGGGGGGCAGTTGCTTTGAGCCCCGGCCCGGCTTGTGTGTGCCTTCTACGCTGCCCCTCCCCCGCTCCCTGCCTTTGGAAATTGGGATGCTACCAAGTGAGTTTCAGGCGACGCTGACACTTCGCTCCGTGGGCTCGTGATCCTGGAAGTGGGTTGAAAATATTGCTGCACAACTCACCTTGGAGGAATTGTCAATCTCTCTCTCCCCCCCCTTCAAAGAACAGAAGCCTGGGATCTAGTGTTGTTTCGTTACTAAACAAAAGTGGGGACAACTGCCTGGTATTTGCAGGGCCACAAAACCATGTCTGCTAAAGAGAACCCCTGCAGGAAATTTCAAGCCAACATTTTTAATAAAAGCAAATGTCAAAATTGCTTTAAGCCTCGGGAATCCCATTTGCTCAATGATGAAGATTTAAACCAGGTGAGTCTCCTTCCGGTTTTATCTCCCCCTCCCTCCCTAAATTCACCTTGGGGTTTCAAGTGAACTGTTTTCATAACTGTACTTGGGTCAACACTATATCTTTAACTGGGCCAAACCGGCTTTCACGTGGACTTAATCGGTGTCGCTTGAAGTTAGAGGAAATGGAATTTTTAAAAATATTCCCCCGTTTTCATGGCTACATTAGGTCCCGTTGCACACGCGAGTATTTGGTTTGTGAGTGTTTTAAACCGCTCTCGTTTTATATAAACCCGAGTGGGGAATGTCGACAGGCGAGAACTTGGGATGGTGTGGGTGGTGGGAGAGGAGGATCTGAAGTTTTAAAAGGAAAAATTGAGATCGCAGGGGAAATAATTTGGATTGTAAAGCCCTTCTGGTAAAGTAGGGCATGGCTTTCTCTTTGCATAGCTACAGGGGTTCCCTGAAGGGAAGGAATCTTAACATGTAAAATACGGAGATTTCAAAGGCAAGTTCTACCAAATCAAAGCGGCGTTTCTTCTGTAAACCCTTTGCAAACCGATTGCCGGGGGTCCATACTGCACCCCTGGCTGTTCGGGAAGTTTTACATTTAAGTTTTCTAGGTAGGAGGTGTCTTTCCTTGCATGCCTTTCATCTGCATATTCCCGCACGATCGCTTGGAGTTCGTAGAAACACGTCTTAAAAATAATAGGCACCCAGAGCAGTTGATCAGCCCTGAATGGGGTGTGTGTTTTCGCGGGGCTGGGGGGTGGGGAGGACTAGGAGCAGTGATAATCTAGCAACATTCTCTCCTTTTCCTCCTCCCACTGCACTCGTGCTGACATCTAGGCTTGCAATCCTATTATGGAAACGAGATCAGACATATTGCTGGCCGAGATAATGAAATCTGAAGGCCAATATGGAAAAAATGCAACTAGGAAAACGCGCGCGCGCGTGTGTGTGTGTGGGGTGTGTGTGTGTGTGTGTGTGTGATTGATAGACAGTGCTCGGACAAAGGGAAACATCCTAAAGTTTGCCCCCCCACCCAGCCCTTCTCTGTTTCCATAGCTTAGCAATGTGATTCATGAGGTTTTGTGACTCAAAAATGCCGGATGGCTTTGTTACTTTCGAGAAAACTGTGTGTGTTTGGGGTCCAGCCAGGCCACTATCTACGTGGAGAGCTTGAGTTTAACCCGCCTCAAACAAGCCCTCCTTTGCTTTGTTGCTATTCCGTCTCCTCCACTCCCTCCCTCCCTCCCTTCCCCGCCTTGGGTGAATTTCAATGTCAGTTTCACGGCTGCGGGGTGGAAGGTTATCCCCGCGCCCTGGATTTGCCTTGGATGGGGGTGTCCTGCCTTTTGTGTTCGGGGTGGGGCATGGGATTTGCGGGCTCCTTCTGGAAAAGTGGGTACAGTACGGATTGCCTAAGTATGTACAGGGGGGTTGGGAGGGGAGGGGATGAGTTCCCTCCCCCCCTTCTGAAGTAAATTAGTTTATAGACTGTATGGCTATGAAATTTCATTCTCAGCAAGGGAGAAATAATTCCACTTTAAAGATAAGGGAAGGGAGTGTGTGCGCGTGTGTGTGTACGCGATGCACCCTTCTATAAAGTATTTTACTTAATGATGGCCTCAGTTTCTGTGCTCTTACATCTTTCCCCCCCACCCCACCCCAAACTGAAGAATCCCATTCAATGGATACATTAGCACAGACAGCTTGGTGTAGTGAAGGAAGTTCTGTGCCCATGCGTTCTGGTCATATGTTAGCTAGTAGTTAGAAACTCTTCTGACCAGGAGGTTTTCTCTTGAAAAAGCAGCTAGGGGCGTGTGTTTGAGTAACACCAAGATGTAAACATGAATAGCTTTTCATCTGGCATCTGTGGTTAGTGTTTTTTTGCAGCACTGTTGGATGGTTGTTTGGGGCATCCCTGAATCCCAAACAGCGGTTTGAATGAGACTTAATCACGCTTATGGTTTTGTTGCCTTGGCAGGTCCCATTTACAGAATGGAACCCGTGCTTTCCCCACATTGTATGGGGACAAAGCTGTTACCATCATGCCGATGGGCCTAGAGATAGCCAGGCTAGAAAAGTCCTTTTGAGTCATCCAATCTGACCTTTTGCTGCTTGGCTTGAGGGGAAGATGAGGATACTTGGCACTGACACACTCACGTTTCTTTCTGATTTTATATAAAACTGTATGCACTCGACTGCATCCATCTCCTCCCCCCTCTGGGTGTCATCTGAGATTGTAAGCTCTTTGGGACAGGGCCTGTCTCTTCCTATGGATTTGGCCAGGACTTGGCACGGTGGGGCCCATATCCTGCTCCGTGCTGCAACAGGAGTTGATACTTCAGTATCCTAGTTAAATCAAACAAACATCCAAACTAACACACTCATCATCGTATTTAGCACTTCTAGGTTCAAAGCCTGGCGCAAACGCTAAACCGTTAATCCTTGGAGTACTACGCTCGGCTTCACGAGTTGTTTTTCTGTGCGACTGTGTGTGTATGTTGAGGGTGAGCCGTTACAATTGACGGTGGCTTTACTTCTTGTTGTGCTCACTGAACGCACAGGAGCTCCACACAACCTCGCCTAGACCTGCATGTGTATCTCTGTCGACGTACACAATGGACCTTCCTTGTTCGTTTGCAGTCGTTGTGGGTGAGGCGGCTTTCCTATCTCGAGGGCTCTTTTAGACACTAGTGCAGCAAAGCACTTAAGCAGGTGCCTAACTTTTAAGCCTGTGAGCAGCCAGGCTGACTTCATTGGCTGCTCCCTCCTCCAATAAAACCTGGTAGTTTGAGTCTGTAAAGTGTCAAAGCTCCCACACCAGGTCATGTCAAAGGGCTTAGATACAAGCTGTTCCCTCACTTTCCCTGCCATGTGTGGTGTAGTTGGGGGGGTGGGTAAAAGGCGGGTGGATTTAGCAAGGTCACTGTTTGGGCTGTAGTCTCTCTAGACATTGATGGTTCCTTTTGCGTCATTGTCCGTCCATGGTGTGTCTCAGAATGGAGGAAAGCCGAGTTCTGCTTCTTCTCCTCGTGTGCTGCTAGTGGTGCTAGTGTCTTCTCGGGTACGATGGTGTGACTAGGGGGTGATGCCAGTGGTGTTACTCCATATTTCCACCAGTGTAACTGAGAACAGAATCTGACCCTTTTGATTTATAGATATAAGTGAGTAGTTGCCCCTGACAGAGGTGTCACGTGGCAACTGCTGTCTGTCCAGAACAGATCATCTCCAGTATTTTAGGACCAGAAGAAGTCCACAGAGGGCTGGCCCACAAAGCTACTTAAATAGTCCATTGTGCCAACTTCCTTTGCAGTTGGCAGTAGCTGCCCCATTTCAGGCAGCAGAGAGGCCAAGGGTTGAATGGGATGGGAAGTCCCTCACTCTGGGTGCAAAGGCCTTTTCAGGACAGGATGTTGCTAGTGTTCTGTGTTTATAGAGAGGACATCAGCTTTTCAGAGCTGCCATTCTTTCTGCCAGATGCAGTTAGACCCATCCTTATCACTTAAAATATTAATGGGACGGTGTCAGGACAGATTTACCCTTAAGATCAGGTTTTGTAGAAATAAACTTTTTAAATCCCTAAGCCAGGAAAGATGAATGTTCCCATGATAATTAAATTAATTCTAATAACTCTTTGCAAGGAGAAAACCTTCCTCTGCACTAGTAGAAATCCAGATTTTGCAGCATGGCATGAGAAATGATCCGTTTACTGGCCCATCCTGCAAAGCTTTATTCACATTGCCCTTAGTTGCATGAAGAGATCTGTTGCAGTCTAGGACTGGGCTGTATCTTAAGTGCATATCGGTTTGGTCTCTAGGAAGAAGGAAACCTGCTCCTGAAAATGGAATTAACTAGAAACTGACTCTAAGCGCAAGTGAAACTGACTCGCATACAAGCTGGGAGAAGCGCAAAATGTAAACATACAGTATGAAATAAGGGTAGAAAATTACGTCTGATCTCGGGGGTGGGGGGAGGAATTATTCTCTCAGTGTTAAGTAACACAGCTAAGGAATTTTTGAAGATGTGTATATATTTTAATCTAGCATTGTCCCTTTAAGATCATGGCATTGATTTCTAAGAATACCCAATTTAAAAATAAGTCTTCCCAGCCACTTTCCTGCCTCCTCTGTGACTTCCCATCCTGCTCATGAAGAATAAGTTTTATTTTAATCTCTGTGTTCCTCTAGGCAGTGTTGCCTTCATCTTAATGTTTTGGATGATGTATGGGTTTGCCATCTGTGGGCCCCTCTGCCCATTTACTCTGCACAAACAGCCTCCGCTCAGATGATTTCTGGAGTGTTGGGAAGGGGTGCAAATCTCACTCCCGCGCCGTCTTTCATTGTGCTTTTGCCCAGGTTGTTTCTATCTGTTAACCCTGTGAGTCCTTAGGCTGTTGGTAACTTTCTTACCTCCCTCACACTTGCAAAGAAGAATGTTCAACGTGGTGGGTACCTTAATCTTTTGGCTTTAATAATAATAAAAAATGACATCAGTAAATGGTTGTGGTCTGGCATGTTTATAAGGGTAGCCGGTGTTGGGGCAGGAGAATGGAGAAACCGAGATCTTGAGGTAGTGCTGGTGACTTTGGGCGCACAGTGGGTGGGGAGATACAAGGGAAATTTAGGGTGGGATTTGGCTTAACTTTGCTCCCATTGAAGTCACTGGGAGTTTTACCACTAGTTTCAGTGGGAGCAGAATCAGACCATCGCTGAGCATGACTGACAAGTGTAGGGATCTGTTCCTATTTGAAGACCTTTTCACACTATAAAGGGCTCAGTTTTGCTTTAGTGAAAGAGCAGCTTAAGGAACTTGTCACGGATCTCCGAGGAGAGTTACGTGCCGAGCTCCACTCAAAGGTAAAAACGCTTGCAGTCTAGTTTGGTGGAAAATAGCCCTGTGTGCTCATTCTCAGGGAGGACGGGTGAATAAACCCAATGTGGACTTCTGCATGCACTGGGCATTGCAGTAATGCACAACAGCAGGGGCTGTAACTCGGATGAGACCCTAGACTTGTT